GATTGTATTGAGCTCTTTTTGTTAGTTATTGTTACTCGTATCGGGTTTTTTTTCTTTGGGCTTCAGACCTGCATCTGTGCGATTTTTTGTCGGCAGAAGTTCATGTTTGTAGCTCTTTCTTTTTTAAAAAATTTTTTCCCTCGAAATTGATTTGATTAACAAATCAAAAAATTCGAGGGTTTTTAAGAAAATTATATAATTCTATATATATATATATATATATATATATATATATATATATATATATATATATATATATATATGTATGTATATATATATGCATGTATATTTGACTTGGTTTTAAGAACATTCTGTTTTTTGTTATTATTAGTTACTTTCTTTACTTAAATTCATTTCGTTTTTTGCTTTGAGAAAATCCACATTGGACGAAACGCGTCAGCAATAACTACAGTTTTCCTACTGTCATTATATTTATAAATATATATATATATATATATATATATATATATATATATGTGTGTGTGTGTGTGTGTGTGTGTGTTGTGCATATATATCTATATTTATATGTATGTATATATGCATGTATTTTTGATTTGGTTTGGTTTGTTTTACGGCATACCAACTTCAATGGGTTACTTAATGCCGTCAAAATTTTTACTGTTGGTAATTTTTTTTTAAATAAATTATTTCTGGTAAAATTTTTCCTACAAATATAGTATCGCTGGTAATATTTTTTTTTTTCAAAAATGTATTGCTGGTTATAATTTTTTACAAAATATTTCTGGTATTAAAGCATATTTTTAAATTTTCATAGTGTTTTGACTCCAGTTTGGGGTTAACTATTTTCCCATAGCAAGGACCCTAACAGGTGCTACCAGACCGGGTCAGGGTGGACCTGGGAACAGCAGCAATTAAGAGGTGGTTCCACGGCTCTCAAAACCTCCTACTCAAAGGCCTTACTACTGAACTTACCCAGGACGCGGATGTACTTTATCAATCATACCCAGGACGGTGCATGTATATGAATGTTATATATATATATATATATATATATATATATATAAATGTGTGTGTGTGTGTGTGTGTGCATATATATGTATATATATATGTATATATATATATATATATATATATATATATATTATATTTTATATATCTATGTGTGTATGTGTATACGTGTGTCTATATATATATATATATATATGTATATATATACATATATATATGTATATATATATATATATATATATATATATATATATATATATATATAAAATATATCTATGTGTGTATATGTGGTTATGTCTATATATATATTATATATAAGTACATATATCTATGTGTGTATATGTATATATATATATATATGTATATAAACATATATTCTATGTGTGTATATGTATTCATTGTGTCTATATATATATATATATATATATATATGTATATATACGTACATATATCTATGTGTGTATATGTATATACGTGTGTCTATATATATATATATATATAGATAGATAGATAGATACGTACATATACATATATCTGTGTGTCATGTGTGTATGTATGTATGTATGTATATATATGTACAGTGCTGTTCGATAAAAGTGACTCACCTGATTTTTTCGCTTATTGTTTGATGAAACGAAAGTTGAGCTAAATTCGAATGATAAGCCATCTAAAATCCGAAGAAGAAGCTTTGAAAGCTCTTTGAATTTAGCAGTAAGTACTGTCAAGCATCCATTCAGTATAATGTTCTGGGGATGCTTTTCTTTTCATGGAACTGGTTTCTTAAAACCTATTGGAAAAACCCTCAGGAGCGAGCAGTACAAGAGAATTTTAGTGTCTTGTCTGCTCCTTCTGCTGAAAGGGTGCAAATCGACCCCAACAAGCTCATTTTTATGCAGGATAATGTTCCCTGTCACAAATCAAAATTGATGAAGGAATACTTTGATGAGAAGCAGGTGAGTGTTATGACATGGCCGCCCCAATCTCCTGACCTCAACCCCATAGAAAACTTATAGAGCATTAAAAAGTACAGGCTCTTGAGAAAGCAGTTGAGCAACTAAGAGGATTTGATTGTGAATTTCATATCCGAATGGAATTCAATGCTTGGAGATGAGATTTGCCAGAACCTAATCAATTCAATGCCAAAAACGGTTGAAAAGGTTATTCAAAATAAAGAAGGACCCATAGATTATTAAATATTTCGAACTATATTACCTATTATAAATAAATTATACCTCTATTATTCTTTATTTAAAGCTGTTCGGTTATGTTTCTATTGATTACTAGTTGCAGGAAATAAGCGAGTCACTGTTTTTGCACAGAGTTTTTACCTGAATCTCATTTATATCCAAATTTATAATTATCAATAGAATACCTTAGGGTGAATAAACTTTTTTCCTAGGTGGTTGGGAAGGGGGCTTCATATTAGTAAGATTAAAAATTATTTTAACCCCAAAAACAATAGACAAAAAATATTTTTAGTAAAAAATCAGGTGTCACTTTTATCGAACAGCACTGTGTGTGTATATATATATATATATATATATATATATATATATATATATATATATATATATATCTTACATATATATACATACATTATATTTTATGTATATAGAGAGATGTATGTATATATTTGTATATATATGTATTTATATATATATATATATGTATTTTATATAAATATGTATGCATGTAACTATAAGACATGTATATATATATATATATATTTAAATAAATATATGTATGTATTTATATGTATATATTTATATAAATATGTATGCATGTGTCTATACGCATGATATATATATATATATATATATATATAAATATGTATGCATGCATATATATGCATGTATATATATATATATATATATATATGTATATATATATTTATTCCATATATATATGTGTGTATATATATGTATGTATGTGTGTGTGTATATATACATGTATGTGTATATTTACATGTATGTATGTGTATATATATATATATATATATATATATATATATATATATAGTTATGTATGCATGTATGTATACCGGATGTAACATCAAAATTGTCCCAATCATTTAAAAACAAAATTGTCCATTTGTTAGATTAAGCTTTAAACCGTCGTATCTTAGAAATGATTAAAGATATCTTCCTGGAATTCTCCGTGGTTTTTATAACATTGTTGGACTCTACTTTGAGCAATAATAATGTATAATTAATCTCTCTGTTTTATAATATTATCGTGATTATATGGATCATAAACGAAAATGACATGTTAAGGATCGGAATCTCATGAAGGATTAAAATCAAATTTCATAAATATATATTATATATTGATATTTTTCCAACTTATTCAAGATGATCTTCGCCCTCTTTAACTGTTTCAATAGATATCATATACACTGAAATATATATGCTATATATTACTATATATATAGCATATATATTTTAGTGTTTTTACGCTATATATAAATATTTTATATACAGTATATAGAACTATAAATAATATATATAAAATATTTATATATATTTTTATTAAAACATATATATATATAGTAATATAAGTTATATATATTTAGTGAATGATATATTGAAGTTAAAAGAACGAAGATCATTTTTGAAAAAGTTGGAAAAATATTTGGAATATAAATTTTAATCTAAAATATATATTGACCTTGAATTGTATAAAAATACGTATGCTGATGACACACTGATCGATTTTAAAATTCTAAGGAGGCACGGTGGAGTAACGGATAATGGCTCGGATTGAGGACTCAGAGAGCCGACTTCGAATTTCAGTCGAATCCATTACATTCACTTACGTGAGGTATGAATCCTCTTCTTCTCCCTCTAGCTATGAATAAATAACAGGACAGACTGGATTCTATAGCCTTGGGTGGCAACTGGTCTACCGTAGAAAGATATGGCAACCTACCTATCGAACGATACATGATCGCCTGTGTGTGTATCACGCATGGCACATAACTGAAGTCGGCACATTGTTAGCAAAAAGTCGCCGGCCCCTGCACTAATATATTGTCTCAGGGGTAACATGACTGACACTAACCGAACAGTACTAAAACAAATAAATAACAAGATGGGATATCCCTAGATATAGACATCGGAATGAGAACAACCCCCACCACCCCTTGTAGATTAAATATAGAATTCAGTTTGAAAATCCTGACGCTTACCCGATCAACAGTGTCGTCCTGAAGAAACTAATCTCTTCCATGGAAAGTAATCAGACGAACAAGTTCGACAAGTCAAACAACGGCAAGAATACGCCATGCTACTTACATCGTAGCAAACCACTCACCTCCCCTCCCTATTCCATCGGTGAGGAGTAAGTTCCACTCGAGCAGCAGCTTCCTGCGAACCACTTCCCTGTGAAACCGACTCCCAACAGGATGTTACCCCAATCTCTACAATCTTAACCTGTTCAAGTCTAGGGTTAACCGTTATCTTCCACTCCTATAAGCACAGATGGCCTCCTAATGTAATCCTCTACTTTGAGTGGCTCCGAGCCTTGTAAAGGGTGAACCTTCCTGTATAAAAAAAAAACGGACGAAACGTTGTGAGAATAACAACAAAGATGAATCCGATTGTAAATAATGCAAATATTTACCTACTTAGAAAAATCTTTTTTTTAATTGGTCAAGAAAATACCTGGCTTTTTATCTTTCCAGTTAGCAAGAAAAATCGTTGATCGATGCTTAGTAAGTGTATTTTAGTCTGGCACAAGGCCACGAGTGTTGAGTAGCCAATAGACATTGAACTCACGACACGGTAGTAATAATCAGCTAGACCAGCTCGCTAACCATTATCCTGCAATGTGCTTGGCTTATATTATGACTCATAGTCACAACTGAGACATAAACGCACAGTGAAAACTGTATCCCCACTCAATAGCACAGGTCTTGAAACAACAACACTATGATAAGGGAAATTAAAATAGTTGCTAACCTTAGTCTTGACTGACATAAAGCTACAGTCAGGATTAAAGTACATGAAAGAACTGAACTCGTTAATACTAAC